AGTCACAGGTCTCTTCTTCGCTATGGTCAGCATCCTACTGTTTCCGTTATTTGCAGGTAGGTCTTTTCTATGTTTGCTTTCGTTGCATTGTATGTGCCTAATGCAAAAATTATTGTCCTGTAAAAAGCCAAAAGAGAATTTTAGGATGTTAAGTTTGTATCGTTTGGGAGAAGTCCATAAGTTATCTCGTTATATTTCTTCCATTTTTCTATACCCCTGAGGCCACACTAATTTCTTGGTAAATGGATTTTTTTAGAACAATAATGGAGCGGGCGGGCGAAAAAATAAATAAAAACAGGCCTAGGCATCCTATTATGGCCCAAAATGGTACGACAGGAGCCACGAAGTCAACACACCGGGCTGGTTCAAAATTTTATGATTTTGAACTTTTAATGATACCATTGCATTGGAAGATGGAATAACTGTAACAAGTAGGAAAAAACTGTTCAGGGCAAAATATGAGCATTTTGCAGTTAATTCTATTTTTTTTTCAAATCAGAAAAAAATGAAGCTGGCGAATCCGTTAGCCAATAAATTAAATTGGTGTGGCCTAATTTGGACAATGCTACTCCAAGTCTTTAACAATTTTTCGAGGAGGATTCGAATGGCATTAACGTCTATTCTCGGCTTTCACGTGACGTCACGGGGGTTGCGCAATTGTTAACCGCCGAAATGAGTCCTTAGCATGGTTCACAGAATTTATCATAGCGCAGTCAGAATCGGGAAAGCCAGGCTAAAATATATGTCGTTGTAATCCTTACAAGTCAGGGAACCTCGGGAAGTTCACTTGAAGATCACACATGTACACAAAAACGAGCTTTGTAGCGTCAAAGTTGACCTTTATTCGCTAGCTAAGAACTCATTTTGGCGTAGGTTTTCGAACTGTATGGGGGTTTCCGTGATACCGCTAATCCCATCTACTTCCGGGTCACGGCTTACGAGGTTCGGTTACTAGTATATTACACGCCGAAGAGCGAAGGAAACGTTGCGGAGTGAAATTTCATGAAAAAAAGCCGCGCCTATAAGGTTTCTCAACTTCTTCCCAAAAATCCAATTACGCTTTGGCGAGTATATTAGGGTCTGCCCTCCGTGTCTATCATATAAATGATACACGTAAACGTCGGGGCGTCTTCGAAGTACCTTATGTATCATTTCAATGATACGTGTAACTACCTATGTTTTGCAAAGTCGGACTGACTTCCAATATGTAACCCCACTATCATATCTACGCAATGTGTGAGACGGGTACACTGTACCAGCAATCATTTAAATAGCTAATAGAAGAGTTACCACTTGGCTCTTAAAAAGCCGCGCCAATAAGCTAAGGTTTCGCAACTTCTTCCCAAAAATCCAATTACGCTTTGGCGAGAATATTAGGGTCTGCCCTCCGTGTCTATCATATAAATGATACACGTAAACGTCGGGTCGTCCTCGGAGTGCTTTTTGTATCATTTCAATGATACGTGTAACTACCTAGGTTTTCCAAAGTCGGACTGACTTCCAATATAGTAACCCCACTATCATATTTGAACCAACCCTCTATGCTCATGGTGATTTGGATCCCTATACTGTCTTTCAACCAGCATATGGGTGTTTTTTGCTCATAGCGCCTCGGCTGTGAAAGGCCGGCCCGGCCCGAAAGTGTCGCCGTTCGCACGGCACCAGAAATCAACAGCTACACGATAATTCTGCAGCCTTTGATGGTTAAAAGATGAAAAGGATTTCAAACACATTGTCATCTTTGTGAAAGAATAGGAAGCCTTTTGATGATACAACGAACGTATGTGTGAATGGACTTCAGCGGCTATCTGCTACCGGGAGTCCTACTGAGGACAGGAGCCGTATGTCTGTCACCTAAGTGTCATACTTTCTCAATAAATGAATTGAAACAAAGAGAACCTGGTCAGTGTGTCTTGAGCAGTTCTGTGTGCGAGTCACCGGTGTGTCTGTCCGAGTTTCCTTGGTCTGTGTGTCTGATTCCTTTTTCGAGCTCTCCCGACAAACTTGCCGTAGCGGGACCCTGAACCAGTGGAGCGGGTCGGTCACCTTCAATCAATGGTAAGCCTACGTTTTCTTTTAAATGCAAATCGTTGTTTGTACTAGAGATTGCTGGTTCAAAATTAATGGTTTTGGGTCAACCTCCCATTATGTTGCATAATGCTAGAGTTTTGCATGCCCGCGGGCGACTTTTACTCTTAATCTCGCCCTTTCAGTTTCACCGCGCCGCTTTAACTTACGGCGTGAATTTTTTTTGAAAAGTACACAAAATACTAGCATCTCTTTGTTGGACTTACATAAAAAAATCACATGACGGCTTGTGATCTTTGTCGACAGAAATTTTTCGATCGCCTTGAGTTTGCGGAAGTAAATTATCAGTGTTGGAATGGGGGGCATTTTTGCGTACCGGTAGTTGTACTTTTCCGGTGTAATTTTACAATAAAAAAATTAGCTAACATCTCACAAGATGTACATCAAAGGACCTGACGGCGTTTTTAGTGCTAAGATCGGACATTCTGTTGGGCTGACACGGTGAAATCGATCGGAGTTCTTTTAGCACCAAGGCGCAATGTCTTCTGACTGCCACGCGTATCAAAATCACCGTGTAAAGTTATGTTTAGTCGGTATTTAATGTGTACTTACTTATTTTTCTAGGTGTCGAACCAGCGATCACGATATTGCCGTCCCCGCCTGCCAAAACAGTACCAGTGTTGTCCCAGTATGCAGCTTCTTTAGAAAACCACGTAAAGAAGCGATATGTTGAGAAAATATCAGTAATTGATATTGACCCTGTGACTGTACCTAGTGACCAGTTCGACACACAATGCCTGCCACCTGTAGAACAATCAGACCTGTTCAGTTACTTGGTACTCGAGACAAGTCACTACACCAACGATCAGTTCAAGAACTACAAAAGTTTGGAAGCGTATAACCATGTAGTGTCAGGTTTTGTGGCGGCAGTCAAGGGGAAGATCATCGCGGGGAAGTATTTCAACTTTCAACTTTATTTGTTTAACCAGGTATCACACTCAGGCCACTCTGGCCTGTTTTTCAGGAAATCCTGGTACAAAAGCACAAACACCTAACAGTTTAACAGATTCACAATACATACAAAGTCTAAAAATAGCACATATTCAAATAACTAATCTTAAATACAATTCGATAAAAACTGTTTAAAAGTTCTGAGACTGAGCTGCTGTCGTTGTTGTAGGGGGAGTGAGTTCCAGAGGTAAGGTCCAGAGTACTGTAAGCTGTTCCTGTATGAAGTGACTCTTGCTGGTGGACAGGAGAGTAGGTGGGGGTCATAGTCCCGTAGCCGTTTTAACTCTGACCGAGTNGCTGTCTTAGGATAGGAAGTTGATTAAACACTTAAAGTTCGGACTCTGTGACTCGGCTCATCATCTGACACGCGGCCAAAATTTGCATATTTAACAAAAAATAATGGTTCTATCTTTACTGAAATGGCTTGATTTAATTCGTTATCCCTCAAAACATGGGGATGGACACCAAAATTATTCTGATACCATGAGTAGTTACTGAGATATTGACGAAAACTGGAGTTTCAGTAATGGCCACCTTAATTTGCATATTGTGCGAATTGCCCAAGGATGACAGAGTGGCATCATTCAGATTCTGAAAGAGCACACCTCAGAGATATAGAAACAACTAGAAAGGCCAATATTTGCTTTGGAGCAAATACAGCGATGGGTTCACCACATTTTACGACATGGCAGGGAAAGAATGGGAAACACAAGGGAAAACAATGATTTACATTGATATAACTATAATATGAAGTAAAATACAACTAAAACAACAGTTGGATAGCTATTCCCTACTTTATTGGTTAGGATTTTTAATTGTCATAATGCAAACTGTTGATTTTCAAAATAAAAAAAACGTACCATGCCCGGCATTCCAATGCTGGAGCAGGAAAGCTTGAAATACCTACCAAAACACTTGAATACAGACATACTGTCAGTATGGAAATGCTTCTGTGCAGGTGTTAATCAAGTTAAATCCCAACAGCCAATCAGCAAGAAGTATAGAGGAAAGCTGCATGCCTATTGGTTGATGCCCTGCATTCCATTCTGATGACTCATGCCCAAACGTGGTAAACAAGGCAGACTAACACAGTAATACATTTGCTATAACACAGCCAAAAAACTCAAATAAAACCATTCTAAAAGCCTGTATCACAATAATTTAAAAAACGCCTAGGGGTATTTGCCCACTGTACCTCCATACCAAATTTCAGGATCTTAGGCCCTAAAATGAAGAAGCTGAATCCATTTAAAGATATGGCAGGAGGAGGAGGAGGAGAAGGAGGAGGAGAAGAAACATCAGAAAAAGCAATATGGTTTCACCACACCACTTCGTGGTGTGGTGAACCCATAACAAAAAAAACTTTGTATGGACCGCATTGCACGCTTATCGGTCTCTGCCACCAGACTATATAGCACATAGTTGTATGTAGTATACGTTATACACGTTATTTGCCAATGACTAAATAATTGTAAACTTGACCCACTGTCAACATTGAATTTCTTTGCTGATGAAATTTTTTATGTAAGAACTTAAAGGTAAAATGTAGAAAAAGTCCTGGCTTTCCTCGTGTCAACAAATTTAAAGGTAATGGAACATAAATATCTCGGTTTCTAATGATGAAGACATGGGTATCTTTTGTTCACGTGAAAGGTCATGATTTTATTCCCATCAATCGGACTGTCGTTACTACGGCGTCCCCTCAACTAACCAGTCCCCGCAACACCGCCCGTTACCAGGTTGGCTTAATGCTAAAATGATTAAGTTTAAGTACGTTTTAATTGGCGGAATGGTGGTAAATACCCCTGCAGTCCAGGGTGCGATGTTGACTTCGCGACTGCCCTTTTCAGGCCAACAACAATCAGCGCTTTGTACCTTCGCTTAAAGACTACAGAAGTAGAGCTCAGAACGGGCCCAACACGTACGACAGTCCAGCTCTATCTGCTCAACAGAAGGCAAAGATGTCAAACTTCCTGCTGCTGATCGCGGCTGTAGTCGCCTGGCCGGCCTCGGCACAAGGTAGGTGTACACTTTGTGTTCATAACTTGTATAGTCAGGAGAAATGGTTTGTTTATGGTTTTCGTCTCCATGCACACATATGTAAAAAATACAATCAACTATGGGCAGTGAAATGAGTACGTACTCGTATGATCAGTCTTGGTATTATGAGGGCTGTAAGGCTATGGGAGGGGGGATCTTCACTAACATTTATTTCATACATGCTGTTTGTACCTGCAGTTAGACCTCGGGCATGTATTGCAATAAACTTTCTTTACCCACTGGGCTAAAATATCTGCCACTGTGAACAGTGTATTTAAGAGATAGCTAGTAATACCTCCCCCCCCCCAGGTATACACAGTTTAGAAACGTGAGTGAATTTTACTGGAGGACTGTTGTAACCATGACCGTGCTTTATCTAGCCACAGTTCTGAATAGTTAACGAGTATCTAGAACTGCGCCGAGGTGAGGAGAACTGCGCCTGGGGCAAATCTACCTTCTTTGATAATTATAACGGGAGACTGTACAGAACCGCGCCTGATCCAATATGATTCTTAAATACGGATTACCTGGTATAAACTGTCTTGTATCCATTAGTTGATGAACATACCGGGCTAAGCTATATACATTAGCTAAATTTCAGCCGATTTTGTCATCGTCGTCAAAATCTACTTTCCAACTACTTGAAACAATTACTTCAAGGACATAATAAGCTGAAGATCATCAAGTTCTCTTCCTTCTTCAGGTGAACAGGTGTACCTGGCTACGCATGACACCTGGGCCTTTTATAAGGTTCGTGTGAACGGATCGATGTCCAATGACAACGTGAAAGAGACTTGTACGTCGGTGGGGATGAGATATCTGTGCTACTACTCAGGTGCTGCTGGGTGTCCCTCCAGCCACTGGACCTCAGACTGCATCACGTATGTCGGTACCGGTCCTTACCCCTGTTCGACCCCCCGGGTCCTCTCCATTAAACTGTGTGTAACCGCTGACCCCCGGCAGTGCCAGCATCTTGATGACACCTTTGTGTACATGCCTGGCTGGCGGTATGATGACAGCGCCTGGGGAGTGGACTACGACACTCACACCTACAACCTGCAGGGAGCGAACTACAACAACAAGTACGCCCTGTGTGCAGGTGAGGCTGCAGCCTCGATATCGTTACACAAGCAAGACAGATGAATTCATGCATTTTCTTCTTCTTACTTTTTTGAAAAGTATAGCGTGTAGTAACAAAATACATATATTGAGAGGACTTACATTGTATATATGAGTATATAACATGGGTCTAAAACTAATATAATGATGATTATCCTATCAAAGGCTGAATGTAGCTTCTTAATATGTAATCAATTTGTATTATGTGCATTATAATGCACATGATACGACAATGGTCTTACTGTAAGTTTCACCAGACATCATGTTGCATTGTCACATCTGTAACATGCCGGTTGAAATAAATCTAAATCATCTGAACCTCTCATTCCCAGTCGCTACTACATGTGCGGCCTCCCCATGTGCACACGGAACCTGTACTGGTGGTGACCAAGGCTACATCTGTACCTGTGAGAGCGGCTGGACAGGACGCAACTGTGACCAAGGTTGGTATTTGATTGCTTCAATATAACAAAAGAGAAAATAATACATTTTAGAGGAGATATGTTTCTTGCACAATCCGGTCAGGGGAGGCACGAAACGCTGATATGTAGTCAAATAAATACAAACTTATTGTGTCGTACATTTTAAACAGATTCCTGAGTAACTTAGTGATGAAGTGCCAAAAGCTTTATGTTGCATTTCTTTTTTCTGTTAATTTTCATATCTGCCAGATATTGATGAGTGCTTGTCCTCCCCGTGTGCACACGGAACCTGTACTAATGTTGTCGGGAGTTACACCTGTAGCTGTGAGAATGGCTGGACAGGGAACAACTGTGATCAAGGTTAGTATTTAATTGTTTCATTAACCTTAAGTACCCTGAAGGACAGAACTGTGATCAAAGTAAGTACTTGATTCTTTCATAAACATAAACCTACCCTGTTCAGTTACTGACCTTTAAGAGAATATACTAGTAACTTGATATCAAACTGCCATTGGGGTGGAAGACAAGGGCTAAACGTGTTGTGTATGAATGTGTAATACCTATACTTTTTCCAGACATCGATGAGTGCTCGTCCTCCCCATGTGCACACGGAACCTGTACTGACGGCGTGGCGAGTTACACCTGTAGCTGTGAGAACGGCTGGACAGGGAACAACTGTGATCAAAGTTAGAATTTAATTGTTTTATTAACCTTAAGTAACCTGTTCAGTTACTGACATTTAAGAGAAGATACTAGTAACTTGATATCAAACTGCCATTGTGGTGGAAGACAAAGGCTAAACGTGTTGTGTATAACTGTGTAATACCTGATTATCATACTTCATAATACCTGTACTTTTTCCAGACATCGACGACTGCTTGTCCTCCCCATGTGCACACGGAACCTGTACTGACGGCGTGGCGAGTTACACCTGTAGCTGTGAGAACGGCTGGACAGGGAACAACTGTGATCAAGGTTAGTATTTAATTTACTCATCGTAGCAAGGAAGAAGTATTACATTATACAGAAGACATGTTTGTTGCATAATCCGGTCAGGGGAGACACAAAACCCTGCCAATCAAATGGATACAAAATGACGAAGTTTTACATTTTCAGCAGCTTTCTGAGTAACTTTGTGACAAAGGTTTATTGTTGTATTCAATTATTTTTATTTTACATAACATTCAGTTTTATTTCTACCAGACATCGATGAGTGCTTGTCCTCCCCATGTGCACACGGAACCTGTACTGACGGCGTGGCGAGTTACACCTGTAGCTGTGAGAACGGCTGGACAGGGAACAACTGTGATCTAGGTCAGTACGATTGCTTCACTGGTATACAATCACCTTGCTCTGTAATTGACATTCAACAGAAGCTGCTGTATTGCTGCGATTTATCACATTGTCTTTTCCCCAGACATCGATGAGTGCTTGTCCTCCCCATGTGTACACGGAACCTGTACTGACGGCGTGGCGAGTTACATCTGTAGCTGTGAGAACGGCTGGACAGGGAACAACTGTGATCAAGGTTAGAATTTAATTGTTTTATTAACCTAAAGTGCCTGTTTAGTTACTGACATTTAAGAAAAGAGAACTTTATATCAAAATGCCACTGTGGTGGAAGAAAGTAATACCTGCACTTTTTTTCCAGACATCGATGACTGCTTGTCCTCCCCATGTGCACACGGAACCTGTACTGACGGCGTGGCGAGTTACACCTGTAGCTGTGAGAACGGCTGGACAGGACGCAACTGTGATCAAAGTTAGTAGTTCATTGTCTCAATGAAACAAAAGAGAAGAATACATTATAGACAAGATATGTCCATTACAATCAGTAATCAGGGAAGACATCAAACGCTGCCAATCAAATGAATCAAAAAGGTGATGGTGTCGTACATTTTAAGCAGCTTTCTAAGTAACTTAATGATGAAGTACCAAAGGCTGTATTGTTGTATTTTTTTTTTATTTTACCTAACATTTAGTTTTATTCATACCAGACATTAATGACTGTGCGTCCTCCCCATGTGTACACGGAACCTGTACTGACGGCGTGGCGAGTTACACCTGTGGTTGTTGGAACGGATGGGGAGGAACCAACTGTGATCAAAGTTAGTATTTGATTATTTCATTGCCATGAATTTTTCTTGTTTAATTATATTGGTATCAATGAAAATAAAGATTTATTTCAAACTGATTGTGTTTGGTTTACGTACAATAAATGATAAAAATATATGAAACGCCTGGTGCATGAGGCTGTGTATAACCCGTGCTTTTTCCAGACATCGACGAATGCTTGTCCTCCCCATGTGCACACGGAACCTGTACTGACGGCGTGGCGAGTTACACCTGTAGCTGTGAGAGCGGCTGGACAGGGAACAACTGTGATATCGGTGAGTACTTTTCTTGGAGTAAACTTCGCTAGGAGATAGACATCAACGGCTGGACACTAAATTGACCACATGTAATGTATTAATCGAAACATTAGATGAGTATGAAACTGTGTTCATTCATTGAGTTTCAATCTTTAAATTAATAATATTCTTTTGTTAAGACATTGACGAGTGCTCGAGCAGCCCTTGTCAGCTGGGAGGAACCTGCCTGGATCACGTGAACGGCTACAGCTGCGTCTGTCCTAAAGAAACCACTGGGAAGGACTGTGAAACTGGTAGGAATTTTAACGCAATAATAGACTATGCCCTTTTCGGGATGAAAATGTTTGACAGATCGTCCGTATGCATGGTAAGTTCTTCTAGTTGTCTAATGCACCAAGGTAAACTTTTGTATTAGCAGATATTGGTGTCGTAATTGATAAGAAACATATTTATTGTAAAAAAAAACAGACGCATTTGTAAAAAAAAATAGTTAGAATTCCTTAAGTCTCTGACAATTTCTGCAAAGTTTGACGACAAATTATACAACAATGTATAATTTGTAGTCCTGTGGCGTCAAAAACTGTGTTTGCTGTTATTTACTGGTGCTCGTGCCAAATGTTTGCTTTGGAAAGAAGACAGTGTCTTCAACTTACTATTTCTGTACCCCAGCATCTTTTGCCGGGGACTGCTACCAGTTCTCGACCTCAGCTGCCACCCATCGGGACGCCACCCAGGCCTGCAGTGCCAACAGCGGCCGCATGGTGGACCTGAGAGACCCGCAGCAGCAACAGTTCCTGGCGAACACCATCGCGGCCTCCACCGGCGTCTCCAACTGGCTCGCCATGAAAACAGCGCCGCTGCCGATTCTCTACAGCGATGGCTCTCCTGTTTCAGGTGCATAATTATACAGATATAACTAGCGTCAAACTCATACATTGCATACAATGATGAAGGCAGAATGGGGATCAGAGAATCGCTATGTCCTTACAAATGGGATTAACGTATTAGTTATCAAAAACTGTGTCTTGGTAGTTAGAATCTTGATCCAATCGTCGCCCTACATTTCAATAAAATTATCAGATAAAGCATCTTTAAGAATTACGTCTTTAACTCATTGTTACTTCTTTAACTCAATCATACCTTCAAAGATGCGCCTCTTATTGTATCTTTTCTTAGCATAAATGTCTAATTGGTCTATCATTATAATGTTTCCAAAACAGCTCCCCTGCAGTGGTCAGTAGACGAAGTCTCATCTCCGCTGGACCTGTGTGTTCTCCTGGACAGCTCCAACAACTACAAGGCGAACAAAGCGTTCTGCACCGAGCAGCACAACTACGTCTGCATGTCTGGTACACAGACATCCCTTTTTTTTTAGATATTTACTTGTTTTATTCAGCATGTATCTTATGCAGAATCAAACATGGTTTCACCCAACATAAGATAGCCCAAAATAGTCCACGAAATGTTACTTGTGATGTTATTTTTCTCTAATTGCAGCTCTCAAACCGTGTGAGCCTAACGTGTGTCAGAACGGCGGAAACTGCAGCTCCTGCTTCGGAGAGTCTACCAACTTCTGCGAGTGTCTGGACGGGTTTGACGGCAAGACTTGTGAGATAAGTAGGTACTTCAAGACGCTAAGTGTTTCCACTGAATTGCACTGTCGACTGATTTAGGATGCTACGTCTGTCTAGAGTCGCATATTCATCAGATTCTCTCTTCTCTTAAAATAAAACATGCCTATCAAAATGTTCAAAGAAAGTTAAACCTGCCTAGAGTAAATGGGGGAAATGGTTACAATTAAGAATTGGCAAGATTTTTGATGCGTTGTTCAATGGAAAAATAGTATAAGATCGTGACAAGATCAAGACGTTTCATGTAAATTGTCAGATCTTAGTGTGCTAACTCCTCTTCAGTGACAACTTACGGAAGAAATTGGATAAATACTTAATGATAGCCTAATTCTTGAATACCTCAACAGACATAGACGAGTGCGCCTCCGGTCCGTGCCAAAATGGCGGGAGTTGCCATGACGACGTGAACTCCTACCACTGCGCCTGCCCAGTCGGTTACCATGGAGACCACTGCGAGTCAGGTTAGTAGAAATAGGGCGTCTCAGCAACCGTCCTCACGGCCTGAACGGCCTGTAGTACTACTTATTGTCGCAAGGATGCACTCCCAAACGTGGCTGTGTCTATGCCGTGTCACGTTTGGGACCGCATGGCAACCTAATGAAGCTAATGCACGACTAAAGGCCCTTTGATGCCTGGCATTGCAGCGCATTCTAGCATTCTTTCTGCCATATCCAATCTTCAGACCAACACTGTCACAACACCTTTCGTCCAAATGTTTTCCTTGCCTTTCTTCTGTTTTATCTAGACACGGACTGGTGTTCCGAGGTCCAGTGTCCGCACGGTTTTGTCTGCCAGGACTTCACGTTCTACTTTGTCTGCGTCCGTGAGTACAATTTATTTCACTCTTTTTCTTCATATCATGACTATGGATGAAATCTAATGTTTCCACTTGATATCGCAGTTATTACATCGTGCTGTTGGCTAAATCGCCCTGAAAAAAATGTATCATTGAATGCAGAGATATAAAATCAAGACCTACAGTTTATTTATACTGATTTGTTATTCCATTAATCTGTCACTGGCACTTTAAAGCAAGAATCAAGTATTGTCACAAGTGTTTTTCTTTCTCGAAACACTCTTTGCGAAAGTTTACACGAATATTCATAAATGCGAGAGTGAATGTCATCATGATGCCATGTGGTCTATCCTTTTTAACCCTAAAAAGAATAGACATCTTGGATTTTGGCCCTAACGCTACCCAAAAAATCTAAGTTTGGTGGCCCTAGCGCAAGCTGTTCGGATGCTATCCGACATCAAAGTTGGCACGGGCACTTTTAGCCCCCCCCCCCAGTCTAGATAGGGTTAATCTTATAGGAAAATATTGATACACTTAAGTACAATGATCAGTCATTATATTTTAGTTATCACCTCAGAAAGAAACATTGTGAACACTGTTTGCATCTAGACCCATCTTCCACCGCCCGCCGGTTCCCGTACCAGTGCAGCAGCGCCTCCTGTCCGGACGGAATGTACTGCACCCAGGAGGGCGTCGCAGCCTTCTCTTGCAGGCCTGAGGAGTGACGTCATGACCGAACCCTCCCACGTGACGACCAGCAGCCAATGGCTGCCTACCTGCGAGCCTTGAAAGTGTGCTGTTTTGTTTTTGGTCTGATTTAGAGTCTAACTAGAGTTCCACGATACCATACCTTCGCCAAATGTTGTTAGCCTTTATGAGCGATTAATTCACAATGATAAAAGATTATTCACAATGATGATGCATATAAGATCATTTGCATGAATTATATCAGTTGATTATAGTATCCACCCAATTATCTTAACAAAGAAGGCCATTCCAGAATTTCCTCATAAATTATGCAAATGAGACCCAAATTTGAATAAGACATGTTTAATTAATAATGTTTATCTTCGTTTAAATTTCAAATGCCCCAAATACAAAGTATAAAACAAGTCCATCTAGCTGTTCTTGAGTTATCTTGTTGACCAACAGACAGAATGACAGAATGACCAACGCAACTGAATATATAACCTTCTTGGCGAAGGTAACTAGAGAGAGTGGATCTTAGATTCAATAAAATGCAGCAAAAATCATATTCTATAGTTTCTGTCCATTTTTGACTCACTCATTTAATACTGCAGTGTCGATTGTGCACTTTGTTTGGACTTTGCATCTTGAAATGATTTTAAGAAAAGAATTATTGCATGTGAAAACACCTCATATAGTGTGTCCCATTTAGCTATAGACGTTTGTGGAGCTAGGAGACACATTTGTATCTTTTGAAGTACGCTAACTAGTGTCATAATAGAATGACCCGTTCAACAGTTGACACACGGACGCCAGGAGTCCAAAGTTCAAAGTCCACGGGTATCCAGAACCGTGCTTGGGGCAAATCTACATTCTTGGATACGCAGAGACTATCCAGAACCTTGACCCATGTGAGCATAGAACTAAATAGGCATAGAACTACATGATGATCGTGATGACTAGATAGGCACTATTCTGGATATGATAGAAACTATCCAATGCCCTATACTCGTGTCATATTAGTCAGCCGGCAGGACGTTCACCCCAAGTAGCACCTCTGTCTGTATAAACATCGCCGTTACCGGGTCTGGTTCGTGCAGGGGATCAGCAGGTTTCTATGGGAGAGTCTGGAGAGTTTATACTAAAAGTTAACTAGTAACAGTCGCACCCACTCTTATTGCCATGTGTGCTGAATATGGTTACAGCATCAGTACTTTATACGCCGTTCACTTAACTACATGCCAAAGAAACTATCCACAACTGGGCCTGATCCTAACCCTACCCCATTCAGGCACTGGGCTAAAAATGCACTGTTCTGGATACGATATACATGTAGGCTATATTCAACCATTTGTACTGTATTATATCAATCGAGGTCGTTGACCCTAAGTAGCGCCTACGTCTTCGTGCAGGGGATCAAGGGTTTTCAATGGAAGAGTTTGGAGAGATTAAAACATGTACCCGCTGCCATTGCCACGTGTGCTGTAAATGTATATTATTACAGCATGTATTTTATACGCAGGTCACTTAACTACATACCAAAGAAACTATCCAGAACCGTGCCTGATCCTAACCATAACCCATTAAGGCACTGGAAAAAATAGGAACTGTTCTGGATACGATATACATGTAGACTATATTCAACCATTTGTACTCTGTCATGTCAATCGGCCGGCAGGGCATTGACCCTAAGTGGCACTACCGTCTTCGTGCAGGGGATCAAGGGTTTTAAATGGAAGAGTTTGGAGAGATTAAAACATGTACCCGCTACCATTGCCACGTGTGCTGTAAATGTATTTGGTTACAGCATGTACCTTATACGCCGTTCACGTAACTACATGCCAAAGAGACTATCCAGAATCGTGCCTGATCCTAACCCTAACCCATTAAGGCACTGGAAAAAAAGGAACTGTTCTGGATACGATATAGACTATATATTCAACCATTTGTACTCTGTCATGTCAATCGGCCGGCAGGTCGTTGACCCCAAGTAGCACCTATCTACGTCTTCGTGCAGGGGATTAAGCGTTTTCAATGGAAGAGTTTCGAGAGATTAAAAACAAAACACGAACCCGCTACTATTGCCAAGTGTGGTGTATGTTGTCAGGGCATGCAGTATTACGGCATATACTTATTAACTACAAGGCAATGGCCGATTGTAATTTGGACTCCAACACTGTACAATTGACGTATCTTATGATATGCTTTTATTAGAACGTTTCTTTGCTCACATGGCTATATATAGTGACATTTACCTATTGGTAATAAAGGCAGGGCAACATTCTCAAATGCAGTGATATGTAAAAGTCATTGGCATGAATGTTTGAGGGCGTGTGAGTGGTCTAAATGGCATTGGCATCAACCAGACCGTCGTTACTATGACGTCAGCTCAACACACCCGTCCCCACAACACCGCCCGTTCCCAGGTATGCTTCATGCCAGGATTACTGAGTCAGATTAACCGTTAATGCCAGGATTACTGAGTCAGATTAACCGTTAATGCACCAGTTAGGAGTCCAGGATGTTGCGCGGAATTCACGACGTCATACCCAGGCCTGCACCAATCAGCGCCCTGTATCCGCGTGTCTGATTATAACACCTCCGTCCTGCAGAAGTAGCGGCACAGTCGAGCTCAGCTCTACAGACGGGCAGGATGTGGAAACTGCTGCTGATCGCGGCTATAGTTGCCTGGCCGGCCTCGGCACAAGGTAGTTGTACAATTTGTGTTAGTAGGTCTTTAACACGAGATAGTAGTGTTGTTGGTCACCCAGGTATGCACAGTTTAGATATGCAGGCGTGTATATTACTGGGGTCTGTTGTGTCAAAAACCGTGCTTTACCCCAACCATGCTCAGGAACATGCACGGTTGTGGATTGTTAGCGGGTATCCAGAATCATGCCTGGGGGAAATTTTTATTTTTGGATACATGGGGACTATCCAGAACTTTGTCTGATCCTAACCCTAACTCATTCATGTTTAGACGTGCATAGGCGCAGTTCTGGATACGAGAGATGGACGTGGCAGTAGACACGAGATAGTGGATATATGAGTCCTGGCGGTTAAAGATTAATAAAGGGTTAATGCCCCGACCCGAGGTGTATAAAGTGAGATAATCCCTGGTCGGGTGCGATAACCACCGAATAAACCGCCGAGAGAAACGAGCTGGTTTATGAGGTGGTTATCGCACCTGACAAGCGATTGTATCACCATATACACCTAGGATTAGTCGGATATATATATATATATATATATATATACATACATACTATANATACATACATANATATATATATATATATATATATATATATATATATATATATATATATATATATATATATATATATATATATATACATGCATTTACATACGTGTATGTATGTGTGTGTGTGTATGTGTGTGGGTGTGTATGTATGCATGTGTGTGTGTGTGTATGTATGTATGTGTGTGTGAGTGTGTGTGTGTTAGCGTGTGTGTTTGTGTATGTGTGTGTGTGTGTGTGTGTGTGTGTGTGTGTGTGTGTGTTGTGTTTGTGTGTCTGTGTATGTGTGTGTGTTCTTTTTGTCTATTCTTC